AAAAAAAAAAAAAAAAAACAGATCTTAGTAAAACCAATACCTTATCAGCTTCGCATCGAAGCTAAAAATGTATTTTGGTTCATTCATTATTCAATAAGCTAAAATCATAGTAAAATTATTACACTCATTCTCTGCTCTACATTCTTATACCACCCAACACTCTGAACTATACATCATACTTGATCATATTACAGTCTTATAAACCTTACCTTTCAGCCTCATTCGAATTCTTTTATGGCATAACACGCTAGATTCTCTCCACTTCAACCACCAGCACATAATCCTATGTCTTATATCCTCGTCAATACCATTGCTTTTTTGCTCAACTGGCATTCTCAGCTTGGCATCGAAGTTAAAAAAAAAATAAATACATCATGGTAAAGTAATATCTTTTCAGCTTAACATCAAAACTAAACCGAAAAAGAATTTCCATTTAATTTTTTTTTTATTTTGTAAGTAATTTATTAGATTTTATGAAACGGATTAAAATGTTTATTACAATAATAACAATGTGAGTTATAATTTAATACAAAACCTTTTTTTTTTGTTTTGAAATATAGGCTATCATTGCTAGTAATGGATCGTTAACAGAAAAATTCGAATACATCCAAGAATTGCGAACATCTAACAGATCAGTTTCTTTTAAATTATATGACCATGATGAATTTAAAAAAACAGTTCTCGTTTTAGGATCAGGCCACGTGTGTTCTCCTCTTGTAGAATATTTATTAAGAAATGAGTCAATAGTTATTAAACTTGGTAAATAAAATCAATTGTCTAAAATATGCTACTATTTTCACTTAAATATTGTTTTAGGTTCTGCTGATATGAACCGAGCTAACAACATTTCAAATAAATTTAATAGGGTGCAGCCAATAGCAATCGACATTCTTGAAGACATTGAAAATTTAAAGAAATTAGTAAAAGAGGCAGATTTGGTAGTTTCTTTACTTCCAAGCCAGTTTCATCCATTAGTAGCTGAACAATGTATTGAGCAAAAAAAAAATATGGTAACTGCTTCATATTGTTCTGATGAAATGAAACAACTACATAACAGGTAAACATATAGCATTGTATAAAATTTAGTAATAACTGACAATTACGTATGTTTTAGAGCAGAAGAAGCTGGTATTACTATAGTAAACGAAATTGGGCTCGATCCAGGGATTGATCATTTACTGGCAATGGAATGTATAGATCAAATACATGAAGAAGGTGGTAAAATAGAATCATTTGTTTCATACTGTGGTGGTCTACCCGCACCTGAATATTCTAGCAATCCCATTCGATATAAATTTTCATGGTTCCCTCGCGGAGCGCTCATCAATACTATATCAGAAGCAAAATATCTACAAGATCACGAAGTAAAATATTACATTAATAACCTATACTTTTTTATCACAATAATGTACTTGGTTGATATTATCAGCGGGTTTTGAAAATAGTTTTATATTTTAAATTTTATAAAATTTTCTACTAATGCTAGTATATACTTGTTTTCATCCCGATTTTTAATAAACAGTCCAACAAGAGGATAAATTTTTCTTTATCGGATTTAACTTTATTGATGTGATTAGATTGTTCAGAAGTTTTAATTATATTATCTATAAATGACTGTACAACTGTCTCAATGCCTCTTGTTGACTTGTGTTTAATTGACAAATTGATACTTTTGTCTACAAAGTCACGAAAACCTTCCCGATTAATATGCTTATTAGTAAGCATAAGGCGTCTATGTTTTTAGCTTCAATGCGAAGCTGAGAAGGTTTTGGTTTTACTATGATGTGTTTTTTTTTTTTGTGTCTGTTACCACTTTTTCTCAGATCTCACCGAACGGATTTCTTTCAACGATACGTCAAAATATCACAAATCGTATCTAGTCGAAGACATTACACTCAAAAATTGAAAAAAATTCCCTCGTTCCCCGTAAATGGGGGAAACCTCAAAAAAAATTACGAATTTAAAAATCGCTAATTTTCGAAATTTTTTCAATTTTTTTTACTTAAAAGTGCCATAACATTTTCAAAAATAAACATATCAATATAATTATTTTTTATATAGATGCATAATATCATTACCTTTCATTTGGTATATTTTTTTCATTAATTTAACCCTTAACCTGCCCACAAGGGGGGATTTAAAATGACAACTTTTTCACAAAAAATTAACTTTTGAAAATGTTCCGGAAGGTCTGACACTTTTATTTATATCTTAAATTGAAGCTAATGCAATGTTCTTTATTATGCAAAAAAAAATTTCGGACTTTATTTTATCTTCATGGTGAAAACAGACATCAAAATTTATAAAAAAAATACGATTTTTGTAAAAAAATTCTTTTTTATATTTTTAACTTTATAATGCTATAACTTTATGAAAATTGTATGGATCAACACAATTATTTTATTATTTAATAATATTTATACCCCTTTTTCATTCGACATACTTTATCTTAATCAGGATATTAATAAGGAACTAGCAGATCATGCAGCTTTTGGAATAATCCACCAACTTTTTAAAATTAAACACTAATTTTCTCGTTCCCCGTAAATGGGGGAAACCTCCAAAAAAATTACAAATTTAAAAATTGCTAATTTTCGAAATTTTTTCAATTTTTTTTACTTAAAAGTGCCATAACTTTTTCAAAAATGNCAATTTTTTTTACTTAAACGTGCCATAACATTTTTAAAAATGGCCAAATCAATATAAATTTTTTTCCTATAGTAGCATGATGTCCTTACCTATCATTTGGCATATTTTTTTTTATAAATCTGTCCCTTTACTTGCCCACAGGGGGATTTAAAATGACAACTTTTTCAACTTAACTTTTAAAAGTGTTCCGAAAGGTCTGACACTTTTATATATATCTTCAATTAAAGCTAATGTAATGTACTTTATTATGGAAAAAAAAATTTCGAACTTTATATTATTATCATGGTAAAAATGGCTACCGAATGCAATTTTTGTATGAGAATTCTCGATTTTATTTTTTACATTTTGAACTTTATAATGCAATAACTTATTGAAAAGTGTATGGATCAACACAATTTTTTTATGAGAAATAATATTTTTTAATAATCTCTTTTTCATTCAGGATATTAATAAGGAAATAGCAGATCATGCAGCTTTTGGAATAATCCACCAATTTTTCAAAATTAAACACTAGTTTTAGTTATTATCGAGGTGGACATAATGCCCATGTACTCAGACCTGTTGGTCCATTGTGCGTACCTCATACCGAATTCGGTTTACCCACCTAAGTGTTAACACCAAATTGTTAATACATTACCAATCATAATCCAATCTCTAAAGATGACCAAAGAGTCCTGTCTTTCTGGCGAAATTAAGTATCTCTTTGGGTTTTAGGTTTTTAATATCGTCTTTTTCAGGAAAAGGTTTATTCAAGTAGTTTGATCTTAGTGTGGACAAGGTTTCACATTCGCACATGATGTGAAATGAGTCTTTCTCTTCTTCTCCACACTTCCTGCACAATGGTGATTCCGATACCCCCATTGCGTTAAGATGTTTAAGCAGGTGACCATGTCCTGTCAGTAGACCAGTCAGGGTGCTTATTTGATGTCTAGTCATGCTATTAAGATCACCCAGCAATAGACCAGGAGTCTTGATAAACATTTTAGATTGTATAGGTAGTACCAAATACTTCCAGATTTTCCTATGTTGTTCCTGCACCAATTCTTGGGTAGCGCTTTGAGCGATTGCTCAGTGAGTCCTACCACTGGTTCTGATCCAAAATAGGTGTTCTCTACTCCTTTCCTGGCTAGAAAGTCAGCATTCTCATTTCCAGTGACACCGTTGTGTCCCGGTACTCACGCTAGTGTAACTTTGTTGAACCTCGATAGTGATTCTAAAGTTTCCCTGCATTCGAGGACCAGCTTTGAATTCACCTGATCGTTACAGAATGCTTTCAAAGCCGCTTGACTATCACATAAGATTCCTATTTTTACCAGCAGGTTTTGAGCCCTAACCAGTATCACCTTTGCTTGGAAAACAGAGAGTGTTTTGCTCAATGACATACTGACTTTCGTGGCTTTAAACCCCAAATTCCATCACCTACCTTTCCTGATTTTTTGGATCCATCTGTATATATTACAAATCCTCCTTTTTCAGTCAGGTGGTAAATATTCCATTCTCTATGTATAGTGATCTCCACTTTGTAGGGAATGTTATTCTTAAGAACCGGTTTGATATAGTCCAAGGGGTATTCCAAAGAACCCTGGTCTATCTCTTTTAGTATTTTACCATGTTCTGTTGTATCACTCTCCAAAGTCCACATACCTAAGTTGTGAAATCTTAGTGCTTTGACGTGAGCGTTTACCTCTAGATGCAGAGGAGGCAATCCAATTAGTGCCTCTAATGCGACCGTTGGTGTAGTTCTTAATGCTCCAGTGATGGCAATAGCAGCCATTCTCTGTATGCGACTAAGTTCTTTCCTAGCTGTAATGAGTGCTGTTCTGGTCCACCAGACTAGGGCACCGTACAATATCATATGTTTAATCACTAATGTGTACAACCAATACATAACTCTTGGTTTAAGACCCCATGTCTTTCCCTAGGCTCTGCTGCAAGTCCACAATGTGGTCATTGCTTTTTTGATTCTTGACTCAACATGTGATTTCCATTTTAGCTTACTATCCAAGATAATACCTAAGTATTTTACTTCTGATTTNAAGATAATACCTAAGTATTTTACTTCCGATTTTAATCTTTTTAAACGCCAAAAGTTAATTAGAAATTATTATTGTGATTTTTATTTAAGTGATCTATTACGATAAAAATGTAAAAAAATCTAACTTTTCTGATAAATGTACTGTAAATAGTAATTATAAAATTCCCTGATTGCATATTAATCTTAAAAATTTAATTTTTTCTATTTAATAATGTCAATTTCAAACTTACAAGTTGAGCTAAAAGTTATGGTAATAACTTTATTTTTTTTTTTTATTAAAACTTTCACTTTAAAGGACAATAAAAATTAGGTTCAAAATTATTACTTTTAACATATTAAAAATCAAAATCAATAATAATTTGAAAACAATTCATTTTAAATATTATATAATATATAATTAAAAGAATTAAAAGAATTACTTATCTGGGTATAATTAAGGAAATAGAAGTTGATGTTGCTTTTGTAATTATCCATCAATTTTTTATGAAAACAGTTTCTTATGATAATAGTGATTTTAATCACTGTCAGATTAAATCTATACTGAACCCAACTATGAATTGTCTCCACTATGCCGCGACCCCACTGTGCTGGGTTTTTTTTTTGTTGTTTATGTTGTTGTACGCAACAACCGGTGATAATGTGCGGGTTAGTTAACGTTCGTTTTTGTTTGTACAGAAGAAAGAAGTAGGAAGTGGACTGTATAAAATTAGTAAAATATATAACAATTAACTGTATTAAAATTATAAACCAAAAATATCATCTATATATACAGTAGCGCTCAAAAGTATTTTGACAAAGCGTTGATAACGAATTAAAAAAAAACTTTAATAGGTGCAACACATCGCATGACTCTGGGTTGTAGCTTAAAGTGCAAAAGGTATAAAGAAACAAAAAAATGTGCAGAAACTTTAGTATATTTATTAGAAATTAACTTTNTATACAGAGTGATCGAAATCTGGTAAGACACTTATTTTCTCAGAAACTATTGAGAAACATACAGAGTGTTCAGTAAGTCAGGAAACGGGTTTCTATTGTTACAAACAGGAAACCCGTTTCCTGACTTACTGAACACCCTGTATATTAAAGCCCGTGTATTTAATACCCATGCATTCATTGTATATTAATATATATAAATATATGAGTATTTAAGGTCACGGGTATTTAAATGCCCGGGTATACACGGATATTTTTACTATACAGGCATTAACCCCATCATAGGTAAAAACACGGGTACCCATGTAGTTCATTACATATCTAATCGCGACCTCTACTAATAATCCAACATAATGATTCTCTCGCTAAACCGGTAGTGGTAGTGCAAGTGGCGTTACCAGTCATAACAAAATATGTAACAAAACCCCTCTTGTAAATTTATATCCAACATATGTTTTATCTCTAATACTAATGTTAGTTCTGGTTACTTGAGTGTATGAAATACTATTTGTTGTATTTATACAAATTTTTATTTAATAAAAATTTTTTCATAGTAAATTAAGTTCTCGATATAAATTTATTTGCTTATTAGACATAAAATTGTCTGTAATTTTTATAATTATTATAATAAGTAGATACATCATCCAAACTAGATATTTCATTAAGATAATTACTATATATAAAAAAATCTTTAATATCTTTTATCTAATTTATTCTACAATGACTTCTTTTAGATTATTGAAATTCCAGCAGGAGGTGCATTGATGGATAATACAAAAGAATTACATTTTTTACCTGGATTTGCGTTTGAAGGATATCCTAATCGAGATAGTACTCAATATGCCCATCTATATGGTGTGGCAGCTGAAGTGAAAACTATGCTCAGGGGAACCATACGATATAAAGGTATTTTTCATTATTCAAATTTACTTGTATTTAACTGTAAGCCTTACTGTGTCAGTTTGACTCATGTTTGGGCCCCGGCATATTATTTAAAAATGGCTTCCCACAAATATTCCCACAAATTTCCACAGTATTAAAGAATTTATCATGAGAAAGAATGGTTTCCTGATCATTTTGAGAACACATGTTAATGAAGACATTATACCTCCATATCAAAGCATATTGAAGCATTTCAGAGCTCATAGACAATGACCAGTAAAATATGTAATGGCTATAGTAAATTGCCGGGTATCAAGATAGGTCAGGCTGATACTAAAATCTGACATTTACTTATTAAAAAACGATTTCTCAGGTTTTTCTGAAATGATGAAAATTCTTCAAAAATTACAATTGATTAGCTCTAAAAAACATGCTGCCCTACACCCTAATGGACCTGACATTACATGGGTATACATTGTTTTGCTTTTAATAATATTCATGTATTATTTTTATAAAAATAATGAATTTTTGAAAGTTATTATAACTTTTAAAACCATATTTTGGTTTCTAAGATTAAATTTTTATATTAATTAAAACTCTTGCTATGAAAAATAGAATATATAAGGCAGGGGTAGAATAGACGAAATGAATAATGTTAAATTCAACGCTTTTTGATGATATTTTGATAAATGATGTTTTTTTTTGTGTCTGTTAACATACTTTTTCTCAGATCGCACCGAACCGATTTCTAATGACGATACGCCAAAAGATAACAAATCGTATCTAGTCGAAGAAATGAATTTATTCAATTTTAGCTCAACTTGCAATTTTCAAATTGATATTATTAAACAGAAAAAATGGTAATGCTAAGTATGATATACAGTCAGCAAATTTTATAATTACTATTAGTAGGGTAATATTAGGGATTCTTGAACCCCCCGCCTTACCCCTTCACCCACCCACCAGTATTAAGGGTGGGCGTGGTCTGGGGGAGGGGCGTGTCATACAGTGGGCATGGTCTCTCTATGGTGGGGGTAATGGAGGATTGGATTTATGAGGGTGGGGGTAAGGAGATAGCGTGGTCTTATCATAGATAAGATAAGGGAGTCGTGGTCTTATCATAGATGGGGTAAGGGCAGGCGTGGTCTTAGGACGATTGGGGAAGGAGGAGGCGTGATACCACGATGGTGGAGGTAATAGGTATTTAGGTGGGGATGGCGGTTTAAAGTGCGCATGCTCACTATAACTTCATGTCAGCGGTGGGGAAGGTATCCATTCGAATATGGTTGTTCTCTTCCTATGATGCTATCTACTGAAGGGTAAAGTAAACCTAATGTGAACTGATAAACGTACTAGTTATTACATCTACTAGATACATTGAAATAGTGTACGTTAAGTAGCGACCGCCGCCACCACACTTGACTATTCCTTGAACGATTTGTAACAAACTCTATTAAGACAATTGGGTGTGAGGTGCGTACAATGTGTGAAACCCAATGAAAACTAACCTAAGTCGGGGGAGGGGGATTTCCTCAACATGTCGTAATAAGCGAAGGGGTAATAAAACTTAACTTAAACTAATCTAATGGGAGAGGTGCATATGAAACCCGACGTAAACAAACTTGCCGCACGTCTATAGATTGTGTATAATAAATAATTTCTAAAAAAAATATCATTGGCTACCAGACACTTAAGTAAGCATATTTCAAACATGTAAGTTCGTAATACATAAGAAGTTAAACTTATTTAAATTATTTTGTTTTTTTTTAAGTCGAATAATAACTTAAAATTTGAATCAGCTTAAATTGCCAATTTTATTGATCGATGAAAGCGACGGACGGTTGACACTTGTATCTATCACGATAAGGGTACAAAGTTCGAATCCTCTTGTGGCAATTAACATTTTACATTTTTATTTAGTTAGAAAATAATGTAGAAATCATTTGATTTTTATCTCGTTTACATTCAATAACGTTAATAAATATGAAGGTTCCCATCACTGTAGTCTCCCCTCGCGAGAAGAAATATCTTATTCATGTTAATATTATTTAACTATGTGGTTTATTTTTGTGGCTGCGATTTATTTATCCAACCGTCACTTAACCTACTTTTTTCAACGATATGACAAATGATTACAATTCGTATTTAGTTGAAGTAATTCCCTCAAAAATTGAAAAAAAATCCCTCATTCAAATAAAAAGTAGCTTAACCCGCTTTCTCCTTACAAACAATTAAAATCGTTCATTTCTCATATTTTTAAAGTATTTATTGTAGATTTAAATTTAATATGATAAAAGTATTCAACTACAAAAGTAAATAATTTTACTTTGTAATTTATTAAGTTTTTAACTCTATTTGTGTGTGCTACTAACATTATATGATATTCCAAAAGTTTTTAGCTTCGATGTGAAGCTGGGAAGGTATTCGTTTTACTATGATGTGTTTCTTTTTTTTTGTGTCTGTTACCACTTTTTCTCAGCTCTCACCGAACGGATTTCTTTCGAATACGATACGATACGTCAAAATATCACAAATCGTATCTAGTCGAAGACATAACCCTCAAAAATTGACAATTTTTCCTCGTTTCCCGTAAATGGGGGAAAAATCCAAAAAAATTACAAATTTAAAAATCGCTAATTTTCGAAATTTTTTCCTTTTTTTTCTTAAAACTTCCACAACTTTTTCAAAAATGAACATATCAATTTAATTTTTTTTTTATAGATGCTTGATGTCTTTACCTATCACTTAACATAATTTTTTATAAATCCAACCCTTTATCTACCCACAGAAAGGGATTTAAAATTACAAAACATTTACTTTTTCTACTTTTGAAAATGTTCCGGAAAGTCTGGCACTTTTATATATATCTTACATAAAAGATAATGTAATATACTTTATTATTAAAAAAAAAAATTTGACTTCTGGTCTTCGTGGTCAAAATGGCTACCGAATGCTATTTTCGTATGAAAATTCTTAATTTTATTTTTTACATTTTTAATTTTATAATGCTATAGCTTATTGAAAAGTGTACAATTTTTTTATGAGAAATAATATTTATACTCTATTTCATTCGACATACTTTATCTTAATCAGAATTTAAATAAGGAAATAACAAATCATGTAGCTTTTGGAATAATCCACCAATTTTTTAAAATTAAACACTATCTAAAAATTTGCATCGAAGCGTTTTTTAAGATAGTGATTTTCCATAAATACTGAATCTTATACAGGATGATTTTTTTATCATAACCCACTCAATTACTTGCAAAATAATAATAATTTAAACATTTTTTTTTTCATTATCTTTAGTTACACATTATTCTTGAATTTCTAACTATGCAATACTTTTTAAGTTCATCCCTTATGCATTGGAAGGGTGTCAACTTTCTTTTTTTAAATGGTAACACATATTTTTAATTTAATAAAATGTTTGAGTTTTTAATTTATTAGTAAATGGCATTTGAATTTTTAATATAACTTAATTCGTTTATTAGATATAATCAATTTAAAGTTTCTAATTTTTGAATTAATATCAGGTATAATACACAAGGGATTACAAATATAGGTAGCTAATTGGTTTTTTATAACATCGATATTAGCAGGTACACAGCATTGTTATTATCAATTGTAGTAAGGCACATTGTTATGAGTTTATAAATACACTAACTGACAATACAGAAAGTATATCTATTGATAATCATAATTGATAATAAACAATCCGTGACTGAGACAGCAATGTCATAAAAATCCAATTAGCTACCTGTATTTACAATCCCATGTGTATTATACATGTATATTAACTCAAAATTTTGAAACTTTAAATGTTTATATCTAATAAACTAATAAAGTTATATTAAAAATTCAAATGCCATTTACTATTAAATTAAAAACTCAAACATTTTATTAAATTAAAAATATGTGTTACCATTTAAAAAAACAAAGTTGACCCCCCTCCAAGGCATAAGGGATGAACATAAAAAGTATTACATAGTTAAAAATTCAAGAATAATGTGTAACTAAAGATAATGAAAAAAAAAAATGTTTAAATTATTATTATTCTGCAAGTAATTGAGTGGGTTATGATAAAAAAATNCAAGTAATTGAGTGAGTTATGATAAAAAAATCACCCTGTATATTAGGGTGGTCCTTAAAATACAAATTTTCAAAATTCGATTTACGCGCACCAAAAAATTATTCTAATACATGTAAAAA